GGGGGGGAGTGATGGGGGTGGGGGGCGGGGATGACAGAAACATGTCTGAGGAAAAAGCTCAGATTTTACTGGAGGCACAAAGTGTGAAAAGCGAGGCAGCTTCAGTGCAGCAGACTGCTTCAGCACTGGCGCTGGTGCTCGAGGAGAATCATGAAGGCGATGCTTTGATGCGCCTACACACCTTTCCTTCATCCTTTGGGCTGTCACTCAAATGAACGACTGGTCCTGGGTGAGTTTTAGTTGATCTGTAATGAGAAGGAAAAATAACAGAGGTGAGGAAGACAAAGTGTAACGCTCTGAAACAATACTGCAACAAATGTAAACGCTGTACTGCAGCCACGCACACGTACTCAGCATCACAGCCATACTTTACGCTAACATGCCGCTTAGCTGTGTGACATCCGTTGGCACTGTGTGGAAGAGAAAGAACCCACTTGATGTATTCAAACTACAGTCAGCAGGGAGCAACAACAACAAAGCCTTACTTGTGGTATTTATTAAATTTTTAAGGTGTTTCTGTTATAGCTGTAATTTTCTGGCCCCTAAACAAGCTGCCTGCTGCCAGCCACCATAATAGCACACAACACTGAGGCCTGACATTTAGATATCAGGTATATCGTTTCTGTGGCGATGCAAAAATTACAGCCTGCAGTATAAAACACGCCGTAAAGGTGTCAAGCTAAACGCTCACCTTAGGCTCTTTTTATGAATAATGTGAGGAAATGTGACATATTCATCATTTCAGTGTTTAAATAAAGTAAAGCACATAATGCCTAAAGTAGACAGTCCTGTGCAAAAGTCTTGAGCCACCCTCCTTTCTTTATATTTTGGAAGATATGTGACTGAAACTGACTGTGACTTTACACAGCTTTGTGTATGTATGTGTATGTATGTATATAGACACGTGTGTGTGTGTGTGTGATTTACATTGCTGTGCTTGAGAGCCACCATCTACCGGAACCAAATTCCCTGTATGTGTCTGCACATATACTTGGCCAATAAACACAATTCTGAATCTGATTCTTATTCTGATTCTGAAACGTGCAAACATACATGGAAACACAGCATTTACGGCTAAAACCGAGTCTATGCTGAAGAAGCGCACAGTCTGAGCTCTCCGTCAGCTCTGTGAGGATCTTCAGGAACAGTTCTCCAGGCTTCCTGAAGGACAGTCAAAGTTCTTCCTCAGATGTTTCTGCCTTTGGTTGTGTTCTCTGTCAGGATGATCCCACACTGCTTCAGTGGAGCTGAGCTCTGAGGAGGCGCATCCATCACTGATGTGTGCTTTGTGTTTGGCATCACTATGGTGCTGAAAAATGAAGCTGCTGCCAGTCAGATGTTTCCAGATGTTCCTGCGTGGTGGATCAGACTCTGTAATTCATCAGTTTAAGATCTCCAACAGCACTGACTGACCTGAGACCATGACAGAGCCTCCACCGTGCTTCACAGATGGCTGCAGACTCTCACTGCTGGACCTCCTCCTGACCTCCTCCTGACCTCCTCCTGATCACTGCTGGACCTCCTCCTGACCTCCTCGTACACACTGACCATGATGTGGATCCATCTCTCCATCACACCTGTTCCTCTGACCTTCAGTCCAGTTCTGGTGTCATTTTCAGCCTCAGCCTTTCCTCTTGTTTCCCTTCAGCCGCCCTTCACTGAATCTTCTCTGATGAGGCTTCAGTGAAGTGTAGGTGATCAGCTGAAGCTCCTGTGTCAGGTCAGGTCTCTCTAATAGGTCCCTATTAACATGCCTTTCAGATACCTTACGGTGTAGCATTAGCTACATGAACGAGAGGACGGAATATGAGTGAAAACAGAAAGACCTGAACTTCTGCTCAACACCACCTTAACAAGTCTGTCTCCTTGGAGAAAGAAATATCCGAGAAGTCGTGAGAGTTTTCCACAGGATGGTGTAATATAGTATAGTATTGTTGAATGATTTATTCTTGCATGATGAGAGTTTGATGAGAGCTCCTTTAATTTAAAGTAAGTTGTGCGCACCCTTGGAGCAGGCAGCTACAGCAGATCAGTGCTTGGTGATTCCTCACAGCACAAACCTGCAGCACTAAAATAAAATGCATCGCTATTTTCCAAGAAATCCACGAGAGCTGCATGATCACCGGCAGATGTCAGTTTAGCTGCCACAGTCAGGACACTGTAGCATTGTGCCTATAATCTGGCGAGCTGAGGTAAAGTGTGACTGACGTGTTCAGATGGGCCCGTTTAGTTATGCCTACTGCTGGAGAGCGATAAAAGCATGAAACCAGAACACGCTCTCAATGCATCGCTGTTGCGGTAACAAAACAGGATATCAACGAACCATCTGCGATGCACAACACCTGCCCGGACACGTAAGTGCAGCACACAGGGTGAAAGCCAGGAGCTCGAATATACTGAATATACCCGGTGATGTAACCCGCCTGCTAACGTGGGACCCTGAACCCTCTGCACAGAGAAACAAACGTGTGCTTTTAGAACCAATCAGGACCGATCAACTATAAAACACGTTGGCGACAGAAAGTTCACAGCAGATATTGAATTTCTTATAAAGCAGAGATGAGTCAGGAAGCTTGTGATTGTGTGTGGAAGGTCATTTCCTGTGAAAGCCTTTCACACTGTGGGGACACGTGTGAATCGGCGCTGATAACATTTCTCCGTCAAGGCCAGACTCTGAAAAGCAGCCCGAGTGAATCTGTGTTTGCTGATGCTTGGGATGAATATTTTCTGATAAGCTGTGAGGCCAAACAGCTGAACTGTGTGACTTCTCAAAGTTAGAGACGGAAAGTAACTGCAGCGAGCAGGAAGACAGCTTCACGCTGACGCATCAGCGAGCGTTTGTCTCTGCAGGCTGCTCACAGCTGGAATTACAGCCAGCGTGTCCACAAATGCTCATGAAATCATTTAATCAACGAATGTTTGAATCCCACCGCACTGTCTAAGAGAAACAGAAAATCTGCTCATGTTTGACATGTTTCTTTGATCCAGGTCATAAAGGTCATCTTGCAGTTGTTGCTCTCAGAGACTGTACGATGTTAGGATCATTTGATTTGATGAAGAAATAACAGCGCTGCCAAGCAATCAAAGATAATCACATAAAGCTTCCTCTTAAATCCAACTCTTGATCTGAACAGACACACGAGCAGCTCATGGAGATTTTTAACAATTAAAAGCGTCCTTCTTACATTACAGCGCTTTGGTCTGCAGCCAGGCCACAGTAAGCTGGTCTTTTTATTATTTCCTGCTTCTATTTATTATTCCCTGCACCGTTAATGGGCTTTTTAACTCTGCGTTTCTATTATTCATGCTGATTTTCTGCTTGGGCAAACCTCTGTGGTCATTATTCTCCAGATCTTTTAAGGTAAGTTGGTGGTTTGTTGTGTAGTTTTAGGGCAGCGTTTCTAATTGTGTCTCTGCTCTTAGGTGAAAAGCTGTTTGCAAATAAACAGATGAACATTTAAAGCCCCGTTAAAGGCACGATGGTCCCAGTGCTCGTTAAGCAGTGATTTTACCAAATCAGGTGCCAAAAACAAATCGGCACTGCTTGTTGTTGATCTAAAATCAGACTGTTGTCCTGCCCAGTGAGCACGATTAACCAATAACTGCTGCATATTCTGCATGAACTAAGAAAAAACACATTTACACTGTTCTCATAATGCAGCTGGGAGGGAGAAAACGATATTACTGAAATATTTTGTAAGCATCTGAGAAGCACGAGCACCTTTTGGGATCACAAACACAAAGACACCTTAAGCTCCAGGGGCG